GGCGCCCTCCGCGGGCGAAGAAGGAGAAGAGAAGGAGGAGGCCGACCGAACGGCGGGGGTGTGCCCCGCCCCCTGCCTCCCCCTCCCCCTCCTACGCCACCGTCGGGTCCGCCCGGCGGGGGCGGGGGGGGCCGAGGGAGATATGCCCTCAGAACGAGGAGAGCCAACATAAGAGGAGGGGTCCCCCCTCTCCTTCCGTGCCGTCAACGGGAGCACCCGTTTGCGTCGGCGCGGTTCGGGGGGGGGGGGGTCGGCCCCAACATACCCGCGTCTAATATAGACGCGGGGTGAGGTTTCCGGGGGAGGACCCGGGACATCTAAGTTCTGGGACTCCCCCCCCTGGGGCCTCACGTGAGCCGGGCGTGCGGGCGTGACCTCCCACTCAGGGGGTGCTTCCGCGCGTCCGGTAGGGTAAAACCCCCTCGGCTGCGGCCGATTCCCAACTCCCAAGGGAGCGGAGGGAGTCGCAGCCGGGGGGGCCGAGGGGGGGCCACGTGGCGGGGCGCTTGGGTCCCCCTCTGTGAGGACGTGACGCGCGGGGCCCTCTCGCCGGGAGCCACAAGGCACCGGCGGGAGGGCAACGTCGTCCACGGAGGGGGTTTCTCTCCTTCTGAGAGAGACCCCCTGGTGAGGGCCTCCGGGGCGAATGCCGAATCCCCATTCCCTTCGGGAGGGGGAGCGAGCACCGCTCCGGAGGCGGGGGGTGGCGGCTCGAGCGGGACACTCGAGCGGTGACCCCGCCCCCCAAACTCTTTGGGAGGGCGCGACGTGGGGTTGGTACCGCCCTGCGTCGCAACCGCGAGGACCCCGCACGATGCATTCGCGGGGGGGAGAGTGTCGCCTTCCGCGACACTCTCCCAAGGAGGGATAAGGCGGGGGGACGGCGAGACGGCATGGGATCCCAGCATCCTCGCCGTCTCTTATAAACGCCCGAGAAGGTATCCGCAGTGGGTTTAGTGAGGTATGTCTTGGGCCCCCTGACCGATCCATTCGTGGATCGGCCAAGGGGAACAAGAAGTCCCACATAACCATCCGCTCTCTTCCCGGAGAGCGGTGGTATCCATGAGGATTCCCACTGCGTCAAAAAAAAAAAAAAAAAGGGGACGCTTGAGCCCACCCTAAGGGTGGGACCGCTCCCTCAGGGGCACTACAGACTCATCCCTGTAGTGTACGGGTGTCGCAATCCCGAGGTACCCGAGCTGGAGTGCGTGCGAAGGATGAATGGGGCGTGATGGGCGTGCAGGCCCTAAAAAGGACTTGTCCACTGCACTAGGTGAAGGAAAACACCGAAGATAACACCCGGGGGGGAGGCCCCGTTAGCTGAGTAAGGCAACTTCCTAAGGGGAAGGAAAACCCCCGACAGAAAAAACCAAATTTTCTTTTTCAGATGGGATGACATCAAAGAAAAGAGACGACTTCCCAGGGTCGGATACTGGGAACCGGCAGGGGGGGGGGTGTAGGCCTGGCTCCCCTCATGTCGTCATCATACGACAGGTCGTCTGTGGCTTTGCCGGCTGGGGCCACAGATGAGGAAGTGACAGTGCCGAGGAAGGACTGGAAGTGGATCCGTAGGGCCTACGAGGGCCTTATGGTTCGGGACGACGGAATCGACCCCAAGTACGTCAGGAAACTGCTTGGGCGGGTCGATTCCAGGTGTAGTGAGTTGGAGGAGTATCGGGTGCTCCTCGAACACTGTGAGAGGCACTCTATTAAGTGTTGGTGCAGCCGGGAACGCTGGGACTTTGTCCACAAGTGTCCAGCGTGCGGTACCGAGGGTCCACCGTCTCCGGTTATCGTGAGTGGTGGATATTTGTGTGACCTCGAAAACAGTGGTGAGGGACTTCCGTTCCCGTCTCCGGAGGAGGTGCGTGCTGCGAGCGACGACGAGGAAGCTGGGGGAGACCTCACCTTTGTCTCGCTCCTTTCGTCGCCTTCGGAGGATGAGGCCGAGAAGGAGGATCCTACGTGGAGGATCCACGATGAAAGGATCCTCAAGGGAAGGAAGCAGTACCCTCCCAAGGAAAGTGCTGCGGACCTTTCAGGTAAGAGCGGCGTGCGCGGCAGGGGTCGTCCGAAGACCACGGGCGACTACGCGGGTCTCGCGGAAGCCAAGGAGCGGCTCAATGAGGCAACTCGCGTGGAGTTACAACTCGCGGACCTGCGGAGGGTGCTGGACCCATCCTTGGGTCCGGTGCTCACCGCGGTAGGGCGGGAGAACGCGCCTTCAGAGGAGGCATACAAGGCGGCGCTCAGGGGTAAGACCGCCCCTGAGCTCAGTAAACTTGCGGGTACGTTCACTACCCAAGTGGAGAAGTTGGCCGGAGTGCATGGCATCGAGGATCTCCTTGCCAGGGAGCTTCGGACTTTTTCGATGAAGCTGGGTGGTGTAATCGAGGAGCTCATCACGAGGGTCTCGACGGATGCTGACCCTGGGATGGATGCTCTACGCAGCGCTAACCAGGGTCTCAGGCTGAGAATTTCAGCCCTCGAGACCCAATTGCAGAGTACAAGGGAGGAGCTGGCTTCACTTCGGGCTGTATTGCCGGGAGTGGAGTCACGCTACTTTCCGAGTACTGGGAAGAGGAGAAAGAGGAAGCGGCGAGCTCGCTCTTCTTCTTTGGACCAGACCGGCGGATCCCCGGAGTTTGCTGCTGAACGACAGCGGGAGGACTGTCCGGTCACGGTGGCTGCGGTGTCGTCCCTTATTGATCGTCGTATTAACGACTTGAGGGGCGACATTGCGTCAATTGTCGTGGCCTCTTTGAGATCGGAGCTTGCGGGGCGGGCTGGGCCCGCTCTTCTTGGAGCGACGCCCATGCGTGCGCCCGTGCAGCGAAGTGTTGGTGGTGCGGCTGCACCGATGCGGTTTCCCGCTCTTGGGGGCTCCGCTGCTTCCGCTTTTGCGGAGGTTTCGGCGGATGTCTCCGAGCGCGGGGCCGTAGCTGGTGGTGGCGGTCGTCGGCGTCGTCGTCGTCGCTCGGGGCCTGCCTCTGGTGGTGCTGCGGCGGGCGCTCCAGCTCGCGGAGGAAAGAAGAGACGTGTGCCTCCCTCTCTCCCCTCGACGTCGGTGGTCTCGCTGACGGTCGGTGCGGGGGGGGAGGAGGAGCGCGAGAGGACGTACGCCTCGGTCCTTCGGGAGGCGAAGAAGAGCGTCGACCCGCCCAAATTGGGCATTAAGTCGATGCGTCTCCGTCGTGGGGCGACTGGCAGCATCCTGCTGTCAGTCCAGGGCAGGGACTCCTCTAGGCTGGCAGACGAGCTGGCTACCAAGCTCAGAGAAGTGGACTTCTCAGCTAAGGACGGGGTCAAGGTAGGTCGTCCCTCCCGTATGGAGGAAGTCAGGTTGAGAGGACTGATGGCTCTCATCACCAAGGAGGACATCCTATCGGAGGTGGTGTCGGCCTCTGGCTGTGAGGTGAGTGAGGTGAGGATGGGGGACATTCGACTGTTCCCCAACTCCGAGGTGGGCACTGTATGGCTTCGCTGCACGGCCGGGGCTGCGCGTAAGCTGGTCAAGGCCGGGAGCATCTCGCCGGGCGGGGGGTGGTGGGGGTTGACGGTCACGTCACTCGCCCGCCGCCCTCTGCAATGTTTTAGGTGCCTCGCGTTTGGCCACACGGCCAATAGGTGCGAGTCGGAGGCGGACTGCAGCGGTTGCTGCTACCGATGTGGCCAGAAGGGACATATGGCAGCCGGATGTGTGGCGCCGCCCCTTTGTTTGGCGTGCAAGAGGGCCGGTAAGCCTTCGCAGCACAGGGCTGGTTCCGGGGCCTGCGCGAGGAGGATCATTCCTCCTAAAGGTTTATGGAGGGCTGGTGAGCGCTCCTCCCCTCAAGGTCGTCGGCGTCTCGGTGGGCCCTCCCCTGTGGGTGGGTCTCCGGAGGCGATGCGTGTTTCGGAGGGCGAGGGATCGCCGGGGGCGCCGCCTGGTGACCCCGCGGTTCCCTCGACCTCCTCAATGTCTGTACGTTAGTCACGTCTAATGTGGTTATGGGAGCTGCGGCCTGCACTCGTTCTTCTTTGCGGGAGGCAAGCAGGTCCGGTTACGCTCTCTGTCTTAGTCTTGTCCTTGCACACTGTGGATTATGGGAGCTGCGGCCTGCAATTTGTTCCTTAATCGGAACTGGCAGGTTCGGTTACGCTCTCTGTCTGTGGTCTTTATTGTTGTTGCTAGTCAACCTCGTTGTCTTTTGTTGTGGGTGAAATACTATCCTTTCACCCACTCAATGTGGTTCAGCCTCTGCGCTTTTTATGTTAGCCCTCTGTGGGCTGGGCCTGTGGCCCTTACTCAGTTTGGTCACGATTGTAGTTGTGTACATGTTTTGTGCACCGTGTTCTAGTTTGGTGATGTCCTTGTGACGTCTCAGTCTTGTGATGTCCATGTGACGTCTTGTGTTTATTGTCGGGCGGTTTTCACCGCTTCCGTCGGGGACGGCACGAGTGAGGAGTGAGGGCTCCAATCTCATTGCACGCTGTCCCTGGGACGAAGAGAGGGGTTCGGAACCCGGTTCCCTCTTGCTGCCCTCTCCCAGGTAGGGAGAGTGTGCGCGGGAAGTGTGTTCCTGGAGGAACCACCACCTTCTTCCAGGGGGAAGAGCCCCGAAAGGGGTCATGGCCGAGGGTGTCCACTGGAAGTTTATGCGAAAGCGGTTCCCGGTGGACAATACCCGTCAAGGCAAGGGTTTCAGTGAGGTTTTAGGTTTGGGTCAGGCCACCTCCTTCAGAGGTGGAGAATCCCCCACACGCCTTCTGGGTCCTCCCTCAGGACCCAGTCGGTACGGTTTGTTGGTTAAAGCAAATTTCCTCACTATAAAAAAAAAAAAAAAAAAAGGGTGGGACCGCGCCCCTTCCGTTTCGCCTCTCCCGTTGGTGTTTCTCCTTCGGGGACCGGGCTCCCTCCTTCCCCAGAATGGGTTGGGATTCGGCCTTGGTCCCCGAAGGAGCCCTCCTTCTCACCTCTATCGAGCGGGATCGGGGAGAGAGAGCAAGTTCCCTCTCCCCTATCCCGCCCCCTCCTCGATCTCCTCAATCTCTCGCCGCCTGGGCGGCAAACCTTCTCCCTCGTAGGCCGATCCTCTTGCGCCGCATTGGGGGCGCATCAGGGTCGGCCTCTCTCTCTCTTTCGGCCGCCTCCTTCCGCGTGAGGACGTCCTCACAAAAGGAGGCGACCGCCTCCCATTTAAGTGGGCTTTCCAGCATGGCCTTGACCATGCTGAGAAGCCCAAGGTCCCCCCGATGACGTTGGTCAGGGCACGGCGCTGGTCTGCCCAAGCTGGGCAATGTTCGACCGTGTGTTGCGCCGTGTCCCTGACCTCCGTACAGTGGTGGCATCTTCGCGATGGCTCCCTCCACGCCTTGTCGTGCAGGTACTCTCCGAAGCACCCGTGCCCGGTGAGCACCTGCACGACTCTATATGAGAGTCCGGGCTTTCTCGACAGCCATTCCTGAAGTACTGGCTGGATGGCCTGGACGGCCCGCAGTCCGGCTCTTGGTCGGAGGAGAGCCTCCGACCATTTCTCCACCGCCTGGTGTTTAGTCAGACGGCGGGCCGCCCCCATCGCCTTCGGTGTCATGATGCGACCCCGCCGGCGGAGGTCATCCTTTCGATCGTACATTTGTTTGTACGCCCCCGCCAGCAGGTCCCAGGGAATGGACCCTGACACCGCCAAAGCCGCCTCCAATGGGAGCGTCCGGTATCCGCGGACGAGCCTGATGGCTAGCTTCCGCTGTAAACTCAGCAGAAGCTTCCGACTTTGCGCTTACAGGCCGCCCGCCCACACTGGCGCTCCGTAGAGCGCCATGGATCCGACCGCCCCCATGTAGAGGCGGCGTATCTTTTCCTTGGGCCCCCCGATGTTGGGCAGCAAGCGGCCAATCGAGTTGACTGCCGCCCTTACTCGGGGGGCAAGGCGACGGAAATGTTCCACCCAGCCCCAGCGACTGTCGAGGGTGAGCCCCAAGTATTTAATATGGGGCTTCACCTCCACCCGAACTCCCTCTACCTCGATGTAGGACTGAGGTGGCCCCCCCCCTAGGACCGTTAAAGTGAATACACTCGGTCTTCTGGAGGGCTACGCTCAGTCCCAAGGCGCGGATCTTGCCTATAACAAGCTCGACGCCCACTGCCGATAAGCGTCGAGCTTCCCCCCAATCTTTCCCCCGGGCAAGCACCAGTGTGTCGTCGGCATAACACACTAGGTGCACGCCCGGGAGAAGTGCGCCCCGCAGAACCCAGTCATACCCGATGTACCACAGGAGCGGTCCCAGGACCGACCCCTGTGGAACCCCCCTATTAATTTTCTTCTTGTGCGGCACTTGGTACCGCCCCGTGTACGAGATCCACCTGTCCTTAAGGTAGTCCCCGATCACCTCCCTCAGGGGGCACTGTGGACTCATCCCTGCGTATATGTCTCGGGTGTAACCCGAGATGTCCAAGCTGGGATGAATGGTGACAAGGATGGAGGGCTTGCAGGCCCTAAAAAGGACTTGTCCACTGCACTAGGGAAGGAAAACACCGAGAGATAACACCCCGGACAGGTGTTAGCTGAGTAAGGCAATCCTCTTTCGAAAAGCTTGCCCCCTCATCCAAAAACCAATTTCTTTAGCCAAAATGAGTAGCTCCAGGAAGAAGAGAACGTCCCGGGTTCGGGTACCGGGAACCGGCGTGGGGGGGTGCAGCTGCCTGGCTCCCTCCATGTCGTCACCAGACCCAGGTCGTCCGCAGTTTTGCCGGCTGGGGCTGCGGACTGGACAGGAGCCGCCCAAGGCTCGGACGAGCTCTCTACTGTGACCCCGAGGGACTCATGGTCAGGGACGAGGGATCGAGGACCCCAAGTATGTCAGGAGACTGCTTGGGCCGCTTCAAATGTAGCGAATGAGGAGTACCGGGTGCTCCTCGATCATATCGAGAGGCACACAACCAAGTGCTGGTGCGGGGGAGTGCACTGGGACTTTACTCCAAAGTGTCCCACGTGCGGGACTGAGGGTCCGCCGTCTGCCCTTCAGGACCAAGAGGAGGAAACGGAGGTGGTCGGAGGCGATCTTCGGGAGGAGGGGACCCCAAAGTCTGGGTCGGCTGGGGGGTGCCCGCTCCTCGGCGAAGAAGCGACCCACGAGGTGGAGATCCGGAGGCAAAGGAGCGCGTCAGCGAACTGGAGGCCAGCAACCGGAAGCTTCGTGAGGAGCTGGAGGCGGTACGCGGCGCGGTGGCTCCCCTCCCTCCCTCTTCTGGGGGAAGGAGGCGCCCCCCGCGAAGAAGAGATCGCGGCGAAGGCGGGATAGAGAGGTGGTCTCTGAGCCGGAACTTTCTGGCAAGGAGACCACCTCTGAGGTGCGGAGGACTCTGTTTGAGTCCTCCTCTGATGCGGCTTCGGGGGGGGATCCACACCAGCAGCTTCTAGCGCGGGTGGATCTCCTCGTTGGGAGTCGCATCACCGAGGCGGTTGAGGGCCTGAGGAGGACTGTGGAGTCCCTCAGGTCCTCTTTGGTTTTCCGGGGGGAGGGGGTAGGCTCGTCTGCCTCTGTTCCCCTGGTCAAGAAGGTTTCCCCCGTTCTCTCGACGCTTGTGGTGAGAGACGGGGTCGGGGTGTAAGGAGGGTGGTCTCCTTCTCGGGGGTGGGGTCTCCGTCCCCGTCGGTGGCCAATTTGGGGGGGGGGGGGCTCCCTTGGTCCCCGGGGGGGTTCTGCCGAGGTTCCGCGGCCGGGGCCGGTTACGCGGAAGAGAAGGGTCCCGAGACGGCTTCGGCGGCCCGACTCGGCGGCGGTGCATGTGACCTCTGTCGGTGACAAGAGGTCATATGCGGAGATCTTGCGCGAGGCCGGGGAGCGCATCAGTCTGGAGGAGCTTGGCGTTCCTCCGCTGAACATGCGGTTTTCCGCCACTGGGGGCCTGCTCTTGCAGGTCCCTGGTGGAGATACCGGCGATAAGGCGGATCTCCTGGCGGGTCGCATCCGCGAAGTTTTCGCGGATCGCGGGGATGTGGTGGTCTCCCGCCCCCAGAAAACCATGGATCTCCGGATCCGTGGGACTATGGGGGAGGGAATCGCCTCCCAAGATGACATCCGCGGCGCTCTGGTGTCTCTGGGGGGATGCTCGGTCGGGGATGTTCGGATCGGAGAGATCCGGACTCCTCGGGGCTCTCCCTGGAGCACAGTGTGGGTGCGTTGCCCGGTGGCGACGGCGAGTAGGGCTGTGTCCGCGGGGAGGATTAAGGTGGGGTGGGGGCTGTTGGGGGTGGAGCTGCTAAGCGCCCGCCCCCTTCGGTGCTACCGCTGCCTCGAGGTGGGGCACACTCGGCATCGATGCTCGGGAGTCGACCGTTCCGACCGCTGCTATCGTTGCGGCGTGTCGGGACATCGCGCGGCGGTCTGTGGCGCCACTCCCCGCTGTCCGATTTGTTCGGACAGGGGGGTGTCGGCAGCCCACTCCTTGGGGGCTCAGGGGTGCCTGAGGCCCTCAGTTACCGGGGTGGATGGCGGGCGCCAGGCTCTGGGTCGTCCTGTTGGGGGACGGCCTTTAGAGATCGGGGCTGCCCCGGTGGGCGCTCCTGCTGTGGAGCGCGTGCAGGCTCTGGGGCCCCCTGTTGGGGGGGCACCCGATAGCCCTGAGTGGATGGAGGTGGACTGTGGCCGGGGGCGGGGGGGGTCACGGAGAGGTGGCTCCCCTGTGCCGGGCTGCAGCTCTGTTTCCAATGTCTAGTGTCGTCTTGTCCTATAGTCGTAGTGCGTAGCGGTGGACGCGGGGATTCCGGGGAGGTTGCCGAAAGGTGACTCCGTGGTGTCCCTGCCCCGCCAAGTCTATGTTTTAGTAGGTAGCGGCGATGGGTGTTTGAGTGCCGGGGAGGTTACCGCAAGGTGACTCCGCGGCCTCTTTCACCCGCGCTAAGTTTATGTTTGTCCTAGTTTGATTGTTGTCTTTCGTTTATAGGAGGGAGTATTATCCCCTTCCACCTTCTTTGTGGTTGGCCATTGGGCCTTTTTTATGTTGGCCCTTTGAGAGCTGGGCCTGTGGCCTTATTTGGTTTTCTGTAGACGTGTACATGTTTCGTCCATGTGTATAGTTGGTGACGTCCATGTGACGTCTTGTTTGTTCAGTGTCGGGCGGTTTTCACCGCTTCCGTCGGGGACGACACGGGTGAGGAGTGAGGGCTCCAACCCCATTGCACGCTATCCCTGGGACGAAGAGAGGGGGTTCGGAACCCGGCTCCCTCTTGCTGCCCTCTCCCAGGTAGGGAGAGTGGCGCGGGAAGAATGTTTCCTGGAAGAGACACCACCTTCTTCCAGGGGGAAGAGCCCCGAAAGGGGTCATGGCCGAGGGTGTCCACTGGAAGTTATGCGAAAGCGGTTCCCGGTGGACAATACCCGTCAAGGCAAGGGTTTCAGTGAGGTTTTAGGTTTGGATCAGGCCATCTCCTTCAGAGGTGGAGAATCCCCCACACGCCTTCTGGGTTCTCCCTCAGGACCCAGTCGGTACGGTTTGTTGGTTAAAGCAAATTTCCTCACTATAAAAAAAAAAAAAAAAAAAAAAAAGTCCCCGATCACCTCCTGTAAGTAGCGAGGCACCTCGTGGTATTGGAGTGCCTCGCGTATATGTCTCCAAGGCAGCGTGTTGAACGCGTTCGAGATGTCCAAGCTCGTCGCGATCAACACACCGCCCCCCCCCCACAACTTCATCCGAGAGGGCTTTGACATGCTTAATAGCATCTATCGTCGATCTGCCCTCTCGGAATCCGTATTGACATTCGGAGAGATCGGGTCCCACCCCGGACAGGTGTTCTCTGAGGAGGGCAGCTATCACTCTTTCGAAAAGCTTGCCCGCCTCATCCAACAAACAAATGGGGCGGTAGGCCGCAGGGGATTCTGCGGGGCGCCCCTCCTTTCGTAGAAGAACCAATTTCGCGTCCTTCCATATGGACGGAAATTGGCCCTTCTTGAGGCAGCTGTCAAACAGCTGCCTCATTCTCCCCCCAAGGACGTTGAGGGCCAAAACCCAGGCCTTCCCGGGAATTCCGTCCGGCCCCGGGGCGGTGTTCTTCGCCCGGAGCCGCCCAATTGCTCGGACGAGCTCTCTACCTGTGACCCCGAGGTCCTCGTTCCAATCATTTTGGATCGTAGGACCCCGGGGTCTGTCACCACCCTCTTCCTCCGCTTCATCTGGGTTGAAGAGGGTGGTGATTACCTCCTCTAATAATACCGGTGGGAGACCCTCTGTGGTGGGAGGCCCTCCGGACTGCAGTTTCTTCCTTACAATCCGCTATGGCCTCCCCCACGGATCCTTGTTGAGGGTCTCCAGGAGCTCGTCCCAGGCCCGGAATTTGGCCTCCCCGATGGCCCGCTGGAGGGTTTTCTTTGCCGACTTGTAGTCCTCCAGCAGCTCGGCCGCCTCTTCGTTGGTATGACGCCTGCGCCTAAGACGGATGTACCGGTGTCTCGTCCGGATGCAAACGGCTCGCATCCACGCGATCTCCTGAGACCACCAGTACACCCCCCTCCTTTTGTTGTTGGCCTGGCTCCTCGGCATGGCAGCGTCACAAATCTCTGCCATTGCCGAACGGAACCAGGCCGCCTCCTCATT